TTGACCAGAACTGAATCTGTTAGCCAGGGCTCATGACTCAACTGCCTGCTGGGGCCAGGCAAATAAGATAAATACACGATACTGTAGATGTCTTAAAAGACAGACAAGAATGAACAAAGGTAGGACACTGAAAGTGCAGCTCAGCTAATGTCCCTCAAATTAAAAACAAAGACACAAAACTATTTTTCTGGCTAAGCCCTCACCTGTTCTGGCCTGATTTGACCCAAAGGTCCCCATTTGCACTGACCTACCAATTGTGTTGTCCCACCCATTCACTACTTTCAGGAGCAAATAACTTAAAAACACATGCAAGTATTCATAGAACTAATTACCTTCAAAATTCTGAATGGAATGTTTATTGTTGTGGTTGCTTGGATCGGCCCATCTTAGACTCTTCCTAACAGCAACTTTGAGAGACAGTGGGTTGTGGGCCAGGCAGAGGACCAAAGTGTTTCAACTTACCTATCAGGTACCCAATTCCATATGTAGTTTCCAGAAACTATTCTGTTTCAAATGTTGATGTCCATAACTGACAACTACCCTGTGTTTATGTCTGTAGTCCTTTTCATTGCTGATCTAATTGGGATTTTATATAACTCGCACCAAGAAATAGTAGTCTTCAGGCTAAAGAATCTATAACCTTTCTGATGCTTCATTGCTGCTGATCTAATATGAGATGAAATCCTGCTCTTTTTTTGTAGAATATGCCTAGGTTTCTGGGTTTAGTGTACTATAAATAGGAGACACCCACATAGATCTTCGGTATACAAAGTAGGAAGCAGACATTTATGTTTGTATCTAGGGAACACAGAAATAAACAACATAGATGCAAAGTAAAAAAGCCTTCAACCCCATCTTTCTTCTCATTTATGATTAAACATTTGTGTAAAATATATATGTATAGGTCTCTTTCTTCCTGCCTTGATACATTTTCTCCATCTATACTCTCCACTCTTCTTCCATGACCCATCACAGCTGCTTCTGCTGTTTCTCTTTGGGATATCTGAGTTCTCTTTTTAGCTCTTCCATTAATAAATCTAAATGACCACACAATATATCTAAGGGTTATGTTTTTGATCTATTAAACTGAGATGAGAGTTGAACTAGGAATAATCTATAAGGTCCCACACTGAACCAACTACAAATCTTGTTTGTATGTATGAGATTTCATGAATTCAGCCGGAATTTTCTTCTAGAATTAACAAACTTATAATTTGGCTGAAGCATAATACAATATGCCTATTCTCTCTAAGGATTCAGGTAAATTTATCCATTTTATATAATTATGTGATCGTCGCTGTTGTTTGAAGATCCATGACATAGAAAGTATTTAAATCATGACAATGTTTAAAAATTGTTTGTATTTAATGTTCACCAGCAGCAATATATTGCTTTATTAAACTAGAGATAATCAATACTAGAGCAACAATATTTAAAGTTGAGATTCTTTGAGAAAACATTTGAAAGATAACCAATTTATTCAGCATGATTGCTTTATACCTTTTTGCTTGGTTACGAGTGTTAAATCAACACAGCGTTACTTAGCAAACATTAAAAACACATATATTTATATGTACATATACAACAATATATATACAATATTATACTTTATGAAACCAATACATTTATTGAAAATATAGAAAAATTAATAAGTGGGTAATTGGAAATTTTTAGAAGTGTATTTGTCATTTATATATTTGTATATTAACCAGTGCACACAGATGCTATATTTTGATTTGTTTCCTAGTAATAGTCTCCCTACATATGTTGATTATTTTACACAAATTTAGAGTGAGGGTATCTGAAAATCTGCTCCTCAACAAAAGCAATCAGAACACTGGTAAAACTTGTCAACATCAATTTTCAGAACTTGGAAAATTAACCAAAGGCTTGCAACAATCTGAAGAAGATTTATTCAAGAAAAATGGGAAAATCTCAGTAAGAAGAGTGAGCTTTGTGACATTTTGATTTACCTCATTTCCATCACCTTCTCCTCAGCATTACAGAAGCCTTGAAAATCAACTACCTTGAAGTCACAGTAGCCAAGATGTGACTGATAGAATAATGGTCCCCAATGATGTGCATATCGCAATCCCCCAAAGCTATAATTACTTTGTCCTAAATGGCAAAAGTTACTGCGCATGTGTGATTAAGTTAAGGCTCCTAATATGGAGAAATTATCTTGTATTATCTATGAGGCCTTGATATAATCACAGGTATCCTTATAGGATGAAAGCAGAAAGTAAAAGAGGGAAGGAGACACTATGCTGCTGACTGTGAAGATGGAGGAAGGGGGCCACAAACCAAGGGATGCAGGCAGTCTCTGGAAGATGGATAAGGCCACAAAACAAAACAAAACAAAACCTGCAACAAAACATAGTTTTTCTTTCCTTAGAGGCCCTAGAAAGAACAGAGTCCTGCTGATTCAATTTAGATTTCTTAACTTCATAACTGTAATATCATATCTGTGTTGTTTTAAGCCACTAAGTATGTAGTGTAGTGATGTGTTATAGCAGCAATAGGAAATGAATACAGGTTTTGGTACCTGGAAGTGGGACATTGTTTGCTGTAGCAAGTACCTAAAAATACATAAGTTGCTTTGTAATTGTGTAATGGGTTACAGCTGGAAGAACTTTGAGGAGCATAATGGAACATTCCTGGATTACTTTACAAGACTGTTAGTGGAAATATATTTATTAACAGTACTGTATGTGAGAGATCAGAAGGAAGTTACAGGAAACATGGAAAAACTGTATTCTTCTTATATAATGATAGAATGCTTAGCTGAACTGTGTCATAATGTTATTTTGAAAGACAAATTTGATTTTTAGTTGAAATTCCAAGCAAAGTGTTGAAATTGTGGTTTGGTTTCTTCCTTTGGCTTATAGTACAACGTGGGGGATAAAAAAGGAAGAGAGAGAGAGAGAAAAGAATCTTGAGAGAATATTAAGCAAAAAGGAATCAGGACTTGATGACTTAGAAGATTTTCATCTTATCCAGATTACACAAGACACTAAAATGAGCACATTCAATGTCAGGAAACTGTGCTCTGGAGAGAAGGCAAAGGCAGTGACTGGACAATCTTCTGCTAGTGCTTCTGAAGTAGCAATATTTCAGAGTATTCAATCACACAAAGGACTCTTTGAAGAGTTTAGGTGTGTGACTTTTGGATCTAAGCAGAAACAAGGAAGGGAGTTGGCATTATGAAGGAAATATCAGTGGAGGAGCAAATGACAGGGAAAGGAAGAAATAAAATAAATTCACTAGAATTGCAAATGAAAACTGCCTAATAATATTACTCAGCTGAAAACACATGCTTCCCTTTAAGAAAAATGAAGAATGATTCTGAAAGCAGAGCTGCAGGACAAGAAGGCAGAATCCTGAAGCCAGAAGGTGACACTGACAGCCACAGAGGATTATTTCAAGTCCTCAAAACCTAATAGAACCTCACGTGCTGGATTTCAAAATTATTTGGGTTAATGATTCCTTTTTTTCATTCTGTATTCTCCCTCTTTGAACAGAAATACCTCTAACAGGGAAGCTATGCCTGTCCTACCAGTGTGTTATGAAAAGAGTAACATGTTTTCTTGTTTTACAAGTCAAAGTATGAAGAGAAATTTTTACCCATAATGGATCATACCCACAATCACAACTGATACAAGATTTACATGGTGAGATTTTGGATGTTTAAGCTGATGAGGTTTATTTGAGATTTTGGACTTAAGTAGATACTGGAAAGTGTTGAGATTTTGGAGATTTGATATGGGGTTTGTATGCTTTGCATGTGGGATAACTGTTCCTTTGGGGGAACCGAGAGAGAACTATTGTAGATGGAACAATGGTTCCCCAACATAACTATATCATAATCCAGAGAGCCAATAGATATATTACCTAGATGAAAAAAGGTATTTTTCAAACATAATTACATTAAGGATCTTAAGATCTTTTAACACAGGGCAAATTATCCTGTGTTATCTGAGTGGATCAAATGTCATTACAAGGCTCCTAACGAGAGAATACAAGATCAGAAGGTAAAACTAGAAAAGAGAAAGAAAAATATAATTCCTACAGCCTCCAGCACAAAGGCAACCCTGAGGACCCATCGCAGACTTCTGACCACCAGAAATTGTAAAGCAATACATTTGTGCTGATTTTTTAAGTTGATACTTAATATTTTACGTATTTAGGTGGTACATGTGAGTATTTGTTAAATGCGGAGAATGTGTAATGATAAAGTTCAAGGTATTTGGAATTATCCATCACCCTGAATATTTATCATTTCTTTATGTAGAAAATATTTCAAATCCTCTCTTCTAACTACTTTGAAATATACAACACATGTTGCTAACTAAAGTCAGCCAGCTTTCCTTTTGAACATTAGAACCTGTGAAATGGAGTAGCCACTTTGGAAACATTAAGCAGTTTCTCATAAATTTAAACATACAGTTGCTATCTGACCCATCTAAAATAATAACAATAGTAACTCTTAAGTTTGTATCATCCTCTCTTTTGCTAGGATTCTTTCTTTACTTCTCTTTACCTCACCTCTTATTTCATAGTCAATATCTTTGGAATGCAAACCTGCTATTTAAAATTTACTCTTGTTTTTGGCAGTAAACATTTTTCAAAAGTATGTTTTCTTCTTTGTCATTATTTATATTTGTCTCTTGTCTACTTGTTGTGGCCTCTTAGTTAAAAGTTCAATTTTTTTTTTCTTGTATCTATTTGAGAGTAGCTCATACAATATTTGCCACAAAATAATGTAGGTTTTGCAATATTTTCAATGTATTTATAGGCACTGTTAAAATCCTCCCCTTAAATTTTGAGCTGGAAACAGGGTTTGTAGATGGATTTATTTTATAAGTTTTATTCTGAGCAACCTAAGGAAAACACAGAGAATAACAACATCCTAATTAGGGCCAATTAGAAAATTTGGCTCCATAGAGATTTGTTCTAATTTTGTTAGTATCATGGTGCTGGAGACAGAGATCTACTCAAACCTCATTTTAAGATGATTTATCTTGTCTTTACTTGGGACGAAATATTTCCATGTTCACCAATGCCCATTCTTCAAGATTGGTGTGGGTAAAATCCAGCCATTTTCAAATGATTCTGAAACATAAAGATTTAATTTTGTTTAAATACATTAAAGTCACATGGGAATATCAATTTGCACTCAGTTTATCATGACTGTATTAACTTGTACTTGTACTCCTAAAATTCCTTTTTGGTACTTGATAAGAGACGGACTTCATATATAAAACTACATATATTAAAAACAATTTACAAAATAAGAGATGAATCATGTTTACACCATTAAATGTAGAAAAGCTAAAACTGTAGTTGTATATTCCTGTCTCTAACCAGGTTAATATGTTTTGATAATGTTAGATGTTAAATATAAAAGGCTAAATATTTTCAATTTGTCATTCTCTAAAGCACTTACATAATCCAGATTATGGCTATTTATGACCTACGACCCTGGTTGTCTACACCAGAGACAATAACCAGCTGTCCACCTGGATTGGAGTATTTGTATCAGGTATGGCAATGTGCTTCTCAACTTATTTGATCCACAATAACATGAATTTAGATCGTTCCAGAATATAATTTGTTATAAACATTTTTGACTATGGATTAAAATACTATGACCTTAACACTAAGATTTTTGTATTTTATTTACATTTAAATTTTTATTTTTGATTGAGATAGTAAGCTTACACTTTACATATTATAATACTGTTACTTACAAATTTATTTCCTAGGAATCTCATTTAAAAATAAATACCTACTTTTGGCCAGATGCGGTGGCTCATGCCTGTAATCCTAGCACTTTGGGAGGCTGAGACAGGTGAATCACGAGGTCAGGAGATCGAGACCATCCTGACTAACACGGTGAAACCCCGTCTTTACTAAAAATATAAAAAATTAGACGGGCATGGTCGTGGGCGCCTGTAGTCCCAGCTACTCGGGAGGCTGAGGCAGGAGAATGGGGTGAACCCAGGAGACGGAGGTTGCAGTGAGCCGAGAGCGCGCCATTGCACTCCAGCCTGGGTGACAGAGCAAGACTCCGTCTCAAAATATAAAATAAAGTAAATAAAAATAAGTAAATAAATAAATGCCTACTTTTAAAATAGGAAATTGTATTTTGAGAATGTAACTTATACTAACCTCGAGAATCCTCACTTCATCTATTGCTTGTGCATTAGAAGCCTAGTATGAAAATGTAAAATATAAACATTAATATTAGGAAAATGTCTCTTATTCTGTACTAGATTGAATCCAATTAAAGATTATGATGTCAATTCTGATTTAATTTCCTATGATATTGTCTCTTGCATAATTAACTTTGACAATTTAGTTGTCTGTAATCATTGGCCACATTTTATTTTGTAATACTTTAAAAATAAAATAGTATGTATGTAACTTCTTGAAAAGGTTGTTTACATTTTCAATGCTTAATTATAAACTTGTCATAAATTATGATATAAATATAATAAAACCTTTTAACATTTGGGTAAAAACTATATTAAAATATTCAAATGATAGTGTAGATATTATCTGAATTTCAAAAATATTTATAATATGTATTTTAAATTTTTGTTAACCACATTATTGAGTATGTTAACAATTGAGACAAGACAAAACACCTTATAGACTGTAATAATAATTTTTCATTTGCCTGTTCCGTGGTGAAGTAAAATAAAATTTAATTTTAGATTACTATGATATACAAGACAAGTGACAGAAAAAATCAGAGATATTGACAATGGATCAATTACTTTAAATATCCTAAATGTAAATAATAAGTTATCTGTTGATATGTGCTTTAAATGTAGTCTGAGTACTTCATAACCACCTTCTTTATTTTTACTCTAATAGATAAATCAGTTAACAGTGTGTCAATATTTTGATCCTCTGGGAGGTATGTACCAAACACACTGATATATTAATTCTTTACGATATAACTTATTTTGTTGTAGTTAGATCAACCCCCATAAATTAAAGTGTTTCTTAAGGAAACTAAACCTTGCAAACATGAAGAGAGTGTATAGAAGGTCATTAGATAATGAGAAGGTAAATGCAGCAATAGTCTTCTTATGGGAAAGGAAAAAAAATACTTTATTTTCTTATACTTTACTTTCTCTTAAAGTAGATCCTTTCAGGATCATTCCTGCCCTTTTAGTATGCTAAACATAGGTATAACTCCTGAAATGGTTTTCCCACCCTGATTTCCTCAAATACAGGTATTTTAGAGAAACAATAATTCTAAACTCTTCAGAAATTTTGTTAACAGAAGCAGAATGCAGGTAAGTTTCTGGATAGTCCAATTGTGCTCCCAAGTCTGAAAAATTAAACTGTCCTTTAGAATTTAACTGTTTACCTTTATCTCAACTTAGTATGAGTATTTCTTTTATGTGGATGAAACTAAAATGCATGGAAATGAGTGTCTAGTTACAAAAAAAATAGCACTATCATTGCCTTTCTTATGCGTTAGCGATTCTAAAACTAACATGGGCGTTGATGATTTAACTCATGAAAGCTTTTCTGTTTTGGCATATTATAAAACAATGTTTTCTTTGCTTTTTTTTTTTCTTGCTGAATTATACTACATTGCTTTAATTTATGCAAGATCATTTACTACAGAAACACCATAGGTAATTACAACAAACAAGGCATATGATACTCATTTTGAGAGAATCAAGGAAGAGTCAGATCCAGGCTTGCACTGAAGAACTTCCTCTGAAGTGTGAGGAATTAATATATTTGCTGTGGTTTCAATGTGTTCGCCAAAGTTCGTGTGCTGGAAACTTAACCATCAATGTAATAGTGTTGACAGGTTGAACCTTTAAGAGGTGATTAGGCCATGAGGGCTCTGCCCTTATGTGTGAATTAATGCCTTTATCTCAGGAGTGGGTTAGTTACTGTGGGAGTGGATTCCTGATAAAAGGATGCATCTGACCTCCTTCCTCCCCCTCTCTCTTACACATTCTTAGCATGTGATGCCTTCCACTACCATATGATGGAGCAGGAAGGCTCTCACCAGGTGCCAGCCACACCTTCTTGGACTTCACTGCCTCCAGAACTTTAGAAATAAATCTCTTTTCTTTATATATTACCTAGTCTGTGGTATTATTTTATTGAAATACCAAACAGACTAAGATAGAAAATTGATACCTGAAAATGTGGAAGCAGCTTTGGAACTGGGTCATGGGTAGAAGCTGGAAGAGTTTGGAGAAGGAAGCTAGAAAAAGGCTAGATTGCCATCAGTGGAAAATTAAGGGTGATTCTGGTGAGGACCCAGAAGAGAAGAGCTATAAGGAAGTCCGAGACTTCTTAGAAATTACTTAAGTGACTATGATCAGAGCATTGGTAGAAAGATACACAGCAAAGGCAATTCTGATGAGTCGTAGATAGAAATGAAAAACAAGGTGTTGCAAACTGGGGTGAAGGCCATACTTATTATACAATTGCTGAGAACTTGGCAGAGTTATGTCCATGCCCTTGAGCTTTAGGGAAGGCAGAATTTAAGCATAATGAATGAGGATATCTAGCAGAAGAAATTTCTATGCAAAATATTGAAGGAGCTGCATGATTAGTTTTCACCACTTTCAGTAAGATGCAAGAGGATAGAAATGACTTAAAATGGAATTTATAATTAAAAGAGAAACAGAATGGAAAACTATGGAGATTTCACAGAGTACCCATATAAAGAGTAAAAAGGTATGCTTAGGAGAGCAAACCAAAAGTGTAGCCAAGCAGTGGTTTGCTAAGGAGATTAGTAAAAATAGAAGGGAGCCAGGTACTATTCATCAAGACAATGGGAGAATGACCTTGAAGGCATTTCAGAGAGCTTTGAGGCTTCCCCTCCCATTACAGGCCCAGAGTTCCAGGAGCACCAAATATTTTTGGAAGATGGATCCAAACAACACTCCACAAGCTCACTGCTCGGGTCTGTGTTGGTTCTGTTAAATATAGTGAACTCCATGTTTCTCTTCAGAGAATCAGTATGTTAGTATGTTCAGCTCTCTTATTCTTTGTTCTCCATTTTAAAGTTTAACTTCCTGTTTCTCTTCGCCCTCTTGCCTCTAGATTCAGTAAACAACTTTCCTGCCAGTTCTAATCAGTAGTTCACATCTGTTCCCCTGGTTACCTGTTCCGTCCTGAGTCACTGCTGCTCACCTGCTCTGACCTGAATCATCCTGAGTCACCTGTTCTGTAACTGTCCTTCCCGACAAACTACTCACCCCACCACTCTGGCTAATACCCCTGCTCTCTTTAAAATAGCCAATTAGAATTAGCTTAGACTGTGCAGTCCAACCCTAGGCAATAGGGGAATGACACAGCAGTAGGGGCTATCTGCATCAGGAATAAGAGCCCCTTCCTCTCCCTTGTTCAGGTGTGCTCTTGCCATTGCTCTATCCATGAGTCATACCCTTTTATAGAAGTAAAATTGCCTTGCTGAGAAAATTAAATTTATGTTTGAGTGCTCTTTCATTTGTGGCACCGAAAATTTATTTGTAATAGTTCTCTAGTCCCGATACCTCACTGAAGTACTCCTTGGCCACCTCAGCCATGGTTCAAGCAGGCCCAAGTGCAACTCATGCTGCAACTCCAGAGGTCACAAGTGTTAAGCATTGGTGACATCCAAATGGTGCTTAGTCTTCAGATGTGCAGAGTGAATGAGCTGTGGGGCCATGGAAGCCTCCATGTAGATTTCAAAGGATGTCATAGACAACCTGGGACCCAGAGAAAGACTTGTCACAGGAGCAAAGTCAATACAGAAAGCCTGCACTAGGGCAATGCCCAGTGGAGTGGTCAAAGTGGTCAGCTTCGGAGACCACATAACTGTAGGTTCACTAGCAAGCAACTCCAGCCTGAGAAAGGTGCAGGCTTCAGAATGCAACTCATGAGAGCTACTACGTGGACTGAAACCAGTAAAGCCATAGGGATAGGGTTGCCTGAGACCTTAAGGATCAAACCTCCCCACTCCGAGTATGCCCAGACTACAAGACATAGAATCAAAGGAGATTATTCTCCTGCTTTAGGACTTAATGTTATTTTTCCTATTGGACTTAGGACTTACTTGGGACCAGTTAACCCCTTTTTTT